TTATCATTTGGCTATCGTAATTTTTAACATACCGCCCGCCTTCGTTAACTCTCATTAACGAACAAATCAAAGGGTTTCGTGCACAACAGGCAAAGGGCATATCTTTACAATAGGGCGTTTAAGTATAGAAATCTGAGTTTTGACTGTGACTACTCTGGTGTGGCCGTCTTTACCAGGATGCGTATCGATAATACGTCCTAAAGGCCATTTTGATGGTGGGTAACGTTCGTCTATGACAAGAACGAGCATTCCTACTTTCAGGGAGGGAACCTTATTGTTCCACTTATATATGGAATAATATCTTTGAAGACACTCGTTCGACCATTTAGTCCAAAATGATTCAAGCATTTGTCGGATCAATTGCCAACGTGATAAATGGGCAGTTTTAACTAATTCAAGAGATGGTTCTGGGATTGTGATTGGCGCACAACCCATAATAAAATGCCCTGGTGTGAGAGCTTGAAGATCGTCTGGATCTTCCGTTAAGGGGCCTAATGGCCGAGAATTAAGAACAGCCTCTATCTGGGCCAATAATGTGCTCATTTCCTCATAAGTAAGAAGGGTATTGCCAACAATCCTAAAAAGATGGTGTTTCATTGACTTAACTCCTGCTTCCCACTTTCCTCCAAAATGTGGAGCTGAAGGGGGGTTGAATTTCCACTGAGTTCCATTATCAGCAAGAAGTCTTGCTAGTTTAGTGGACTCTTGTGTGGCTGTAGAAAAAAGTCGTTGCAATTCCGCGTCCGCTCCCTTGAGCGTAGTACCACAATCACTTGATAGAGTGGTACAAATCCCCCGTCTTGACGCAAACCTTTTATATGCTGCTATGAAAGCGTCTGCGGAGTAATCCGTTACGAGCTCCAAGTGGACAGCTGATGTTGCAAAACACACAAAAAGAGCTACATAGGACTTGTAAGTGCGGGCATTTTTTCCTCTCCATGTCTTAATCACGAACGGACCGGCATAATCAATACCTGAATGAGCAAAGGGTCGAGAAGGTGTAATTCGTTCTATAGGAAGTTGTCCCATTAACTGTTGAGCTCTTTTTTGGCGAAATCGGGTGCATTTGATGCATTTGAGAATCCATGAACGTACAGGGGCTCGACCTCCTATAAGCCAATAATCCTTGCGAATAATGGATAGCGTGACTTGCGTGCCTCCATGCAGTGCTCGATGATGAGCATCTGATATAATAAGGGAAGTCAGTGCTGACCTTCTCGGTAATATAAGAGGATGTTTCTCTGCTTCACTAAGAAGCGAATTTTGAAGACGACCGCCGATTCTCATTAGGCCAAACGAATCTAAAAAAGGAGTTAGACGTATCAAAGGGCTGGATCGAGAGATCGGTTGGTTTTTAGAGAGAGACTTAATCTCGTTGGGAAAAAATGTCCGTTGAGTGATTTTGACCCAGAATACCTTTGCTCTCTCTAGCTCTTGTGTTGTGAGAGATGGTGAGAATGATGATAAAGGGACTTTTCGAAATCGAGCTACTGCACGTTGACAAGTGGCAGTGATGCGATACAATTTCGATAAACTAGAATATCTAGTGAGGAGATTCCACTCCTTTTTTTGATTGATTATAACTGTGTGGACCTTGTTAGGGCGTTGTTCGAGATTATCTTCCTGAGAAGACGACGGAGGACATTGAGGCCATAATAATTTTGCTTGAGAAAGCCAATGAGGGCCGTTCCACCAACATGGGTAGTTTAAAAGTTGAGAAGGCGTAAGTCCTCTGGTAGCGACATCGGCTGGGTTTTCATGACCAGGCACAAATTTCCATTCAGCTTGCGGCAAAGTTTCGTGAATGAAACTAACTCGGTTATGGACAAATTCCTTCCACTTAGATGGGTGGTTATTTAACCAGATGTGAGTAATTGAGGAATCGGTCCATAAGACGATTGGCCGATTTTTTAAATTCAGTACAGTTAGAAGGTGGGAAACTAACTTAGTCAATAACACTGCTCCACACAACTCAAGTCTAGGAATAGTAAGACGTTTTAATGGGGCTACTTTAGTTTTTGATGCTACGAAGTTTATAATTACTTCTCCTTCAGAGGTTGTAACTCGAACATATACGACAGCTGCCATGGCTTTTTGTGATGCATCAGAGAATCCATGGATCTCTACGTTGCAATCATTAGAAAACCCTATCCACCGGGGAAACGAGATCCGTGGTATTTCTTGCAGACCTTTCACAAAGGTGCGCCATCGGTCTGTGATGTGAGAGGGTAAGAGATCATCCCATCCTAATTTTATCGCCCATAGTTCCTGAATAAAGATTTTTGCGTTGATAATGATCGGTGACAAAAACCCAAGAGGGTCAAATAGTTTAGCAATGGTTGAGAGAGCTCTCCTTTTTGTAATCTCCCCATCAGCTTCACAGCTGAACGTAAATTGAAAGACGTCGGCTGTTGGTTGCCATCGAAGTCCTAGAGCATAAACAACAGTATTGTTATCAATATCAACGGACACTGAAGAGACCTGTTTCTCTTTGGGAATTGAGGAGAGGATGTCTGGATGGTTTGCTGACCATTTTTGCAACTTGAAACCGCCCGCCATACAGAGTTGATTTAACTGGTTGACAACATCCTGAGCCTCTTCGATAGTGTCCGCTCCTCCGAAGAGATCGTCTACGTATCTTCCCTTCTGTAAACAGGGAGTTGCTAAAGGAAAGCGTGAACCCTCGTCATTTATTAACTGCTGAATAGTTCGTAATGCTAAGAAGGGGGCGCAGACCAAGCCGTAGGTAACTGTAGTCAACTGGAAAGTACGTATTTTGAGTGAGGAGTCAAGCCAAAGTATCCTTTGAAAGTTCCAGTCGTCTTGATAAACTTCTATTTGACGATACATTTTTTCCATATCAGATGAAAAGACATACCTAAACTGACGGAACCAGATCAAGACATCAAACAAGTCTATTTGTAATTTAGCTCCTGTATGCAATAAGTCATTTAGAGAGAATCCTGATGTAGTAATGCTTGATCCATTAAATACCACGCGCAATTTGGTTGTAAGGCTTTGTTCTCTTTTAACTCCGTGATGCGGAAGATAGAATGCATGAGGCGGTTCGGGAAGGGTTTCAGGAATTATTCTCATGTGGTTAAGCTGTTCATATTCATTCATGAAATCGGAGTATAATTTAACATATTCAGAATCAGTCGAAAATTTATTAGACAATCTAAACATCATTCGAGTAGCCTTTTTTTTTGAATCTCCTAAATGCTCGATAGGTTTCTTAAAGGGGAGTTTAACTATATATCGCCCTTCCGTGTTACGAGTGTGAGTAGAAACAAAATGATCTTCGCACGCTTGTTCTTCGATCGAAAGAATCGAAACTTTCGATGAAGCGACTTCATCAAGTTCCCAAAATTTATGGATCAAATTGTAGAGATCATCATCTACCGATACATGGAGTCCGTGAGCACTCGTGGGAATTACCGAAGGATTTGTAGGACCAGAAATGATCCAGCCTAATTCAGTAAGTTGAGCGACTGGGGAACCGAGTGGTCCTTTAATAAGGCCTTCTTGTAATATTTGACCATAAACATCGGCTCCGAGAATAATATCGATTTTACAGGCTAAGAAATATGCGGGATCCGCTAATTGTAATCCACTTAGGTGAGGCCATGAATTTTCTTCTGTTGAAACAGATGGTATTGCAGCTGTGAGTTTAGGAAGAATATGAGCTGAAACTGAGCATTCGAATGACGAGTTAAAATGTGGTTTTAATTGGAAGGAAGTCATTCCTTTTGTTTTGTTCGACCTCTTTCCGCCTATTCCGATCAATGGAATTTGAGACTTTGTCCGAGACAACTGTAAACGCTGTGCTAGCCGCTCAGTGATTAAAGAGATTTCCGATCCTTGATCGATTAAAACTCTTGCTTTCGAAGATTGTCCATCTCTAGACGTAACTGAAACAAGGGCCGTAGCCAATAAAACGCAGTGGTTATTAACTTTTTCTTGTCTAGTAGAATGGAGAACTTGAGAACCACCTTTTAGCTCAGAATTGACTGTTTTTCCTACTTCAGATGATTTATCCAACTTTCCTGTTTCTTCAGATTTAGACGAGCTCACCTTAGACTTGGTAGTATCAAAATTTCCACGATGGAGTGAAACGTGATGCCTTCCAGCACATTTTTTACAATGAACCGACATTCGACAGTTAGCTGCCCTATGTGGTCCAAAACAATTATAGCATAAATTGTGTTTCCTTACAAGAGAGACTCGTTGCTGTAACGATTTCGACTTGTACTGCGGGCAAAAGTACGGCCAATGGGGTTCAGAACAAAAGGGACATGATTTTGAACTCTCATCCTTAAATTTGCCCTGAAAATGAGATTTTACAGAACTTTGGTTCGAATGTAATAGCTTACCCATACGAGCCTTTTCGTAATTTTGTATAGTAACTAGTCGAGTGATGAAGAATTCAAGAAATTGCTTCCATGTAGGGAGTTCTTTTGATGAACCAACATATTGTTCCCACATTTTGACTGACTCAGAGTCCATTCGTTGAATTACAGTAAAGATTAGAAAGTCATCCCAGGAATCTACTGGTCTCCCAAGCGTTTCCAATGTTCGATAAATTTGCGTGACGGTGGTATACAGCTTCTCCAGATCTGCTGCAGACTCTCTGGTAATGCGTTTTAGATTGAATAAAGAACTCAGAGCTGCGTTAACTAGAAGTCTTTTATTTTCATAGAAGGAGATTAGAGATTCCCAAGCTTTAGAGAAATTATCTGCTGTTAGAGTGGTATTGCTCAACATATGAACCGCAGTACCGGTTAAACTTGTCTTCAAATATTGGAGCTTTTCTACTGGAGATAGCGTTGGATTATCTATAACTAACGAGCGGAATAGATCTTTAAATGGCAGCCAATCGGAGGGTGTTCCGTTAAATTTAGGGAGATCTAATCTAGGAAGTCTTGCATGATGGAAGAAGGTTGGGAGACCAGATGACGATAATGAAGTGGTGACCACTTGTGAGGATGAAGTCCTTGAAGATGTTCCCGGGATGCTTCCTCGATCCGAATGTGACTCTAGTAGTGAGTTGATCCGCTCCGTAGATTCTAAGTAATATTCATTCGTTATTGAAAAATAGTTTTCAGAAAAATATGAATTACTGCGAATGACAGCTTTATCATTTTCCTCTAACTCTCGAATAGCTAAGGTAATGGCATCGTGAACTACAAGAAATTTGTCCCAGTTCTCCTTCAGAGCTGTGAGACGTAAATTAAGTCTTTGAGGAGTGACGTTTTCTATACCATTTTTGACAAGATTGTCATAAGAATTAGCTATCAAGGATGAAAGAATTAGCTGTTGATCAATGTGATGCTCTATATGATTCAGTCTCATTGTGCTTAGGCGAACTATGCTGCTTACAATAAGAATCCGGCTCGAAGGACCAGAAATGTTTTTACGCTGATTCTTATTTT